ATAAATAGTGATTTCCTTGTAATTGTCATTAACAATCGTCATTAGCAGAATTATCAAGATTAGTGCTGTAATTCTTTCTCTCTCTCTCAATCTAATCATTCTTTGATCATATTCTTTCTATCTTTGATGTTCATCATGATTCTTGAAGATTGCTTCATGTTTGTATGATTTATGGACTTATCATATATAACTGTTACAGTATCAACTATTGGGTCAGACGGTCTCCCAAGAGTACACACTGGTCAATGTGCTATCGATACAATATCATTTATGTTAGACGTCGTGAATCCTAGCACAACACAGTGTTACCATCCTACACTGTAGGACTATAGCGTTTTTAGACACTAAAGCTATTTATAGCCTTCTCCTATTACCTCAGGTTTTGAAAGTCAATAGATTTTTATACACAAAATTAGTTGTCAATTAATTTTAATGTAATCATCAAATGAAATATTAAGCACCTGAAACAAATAGTAGACTATAATGCTAATAAGACACAATTGTACTTTCACATCGGCTTTGGTTTTAATTTCCTGTTACACCCCAAGCTAAGGCGTTAGCCCATCATCGCTCGGTTTCTTCTCTCGAAGGATGTAAGGACTGAAAAATAAATAACTGATACGAAAAAGTAAATTACAGAAAGTAAATTGCAAAAAGTAAATTACAAGAAATTGAAATACTGGAATTTAAAGTACTGGAAATTAAATGACAGAAATATAAATGACTGAAAGTAAATTGCTGGAAATTAAAATACAGAAAAGTAAATTGCAGTAAAGTAAAGACTGAAATGTAAATGACTGAAATATAAAGACTGAAATGTAAAGGACTGAAATATAAAGACTGAAATGTAAATGACTGAATTATAAAGACTGAAATGTAAATGACTGAAATTAAATTTCTAATAACTAAATATTATTAATTAATATTAAACTAAGACATGATGGAGATTGGTACTTGATGGGATGAAGAAGTGACTAATGAAAGCATGGAAAGAAGAGTTTGACTTTGAGGAAACTTGCAAAACAAGTAACGAAACTTGCAACACAAGTTTCGTTATAAAGACCGAAAAGGTTACTTGCAAACTCTTAAGAACAGATTATTTAGTCTACGTAAATTAGCCGTGAGCCGCAAAGGATGAAATCCAATGTAAAGCAACAAATATCGACTAATTCGTAACTCGTAACAAAGGTAAGAAAACGTAACGTAACTTGGAAATAAAAACGGAAATGAGATGAAGATTAAATACGAGCACTTGAATTAAAACTTGAAAACGTAATCACAACTTCATTTCACAAAAGTCGGTTCTTGGTTGGAAGCAAGAAAAGCGAAATCATGAAACCGAAAGCAATAATCTAGAGAATATTTAACACAAAGATTAATTGGAAGGAAGCATCAAAAGTGTGTAAATTGGTAAATAAACCCAAGCCTTAAGCCTCTATTTATAGGTTAAGGGAGTTTGCTTAATGGGAGCCACCTAATAAGACCAAAGGCTCTTCAAAAATGGGCTTTGATCGGGCCCAAGGTCGTTGACCACTCATTCATTAAGGAGCAGCCCAAGAATTCTCGGTCCAGGAAAAAGTGCAGCTCACGGACAGGTACTACAGGATTCTGCCACACCTAGTCCTATAGGACTGCTGCAGGATTTGCCCCAAAAATCATCAAAAACCTGCATAAACAGGGGGTTAACATTAGATATGTTATATTAGTACTAATATATGAAAATGACATAAAAAGACTCAATTAAGACACTAATGGGTAAATAAAACAAAGGAAGATGGTTAAGAAAATGATGTAATAAGGTTAATAAATTAACTCTTATCACTCGCGTCGATAGGAGGGGTACTCGATCACGACATCGAGATTGTCTCTGGTGATGAGCATTAAGAGCAACGTTCCACCATCTTTTGATCATCCACTGATGTTGACGCTCTTAATTGGGTGAGGACTTACTCTTTTGTTCATGCTTGCTTCGCTCCAGCGCTTGTCCCGCTCAGCCAGTTTCAGGCTTTTCTCGTGCTCAGCTTCTGCAAGAGAAAGGAGCTTAGCTTGGGCTTGGACAATGTTCACCTTCTTTTTGGAATTTCTCTTGGGAAGAACTTTCTCAGCTAGACACTTGGCCAGCTTTTGGCTGTCCTCATTCTGCTTCTTTTGAAGTTTTAGCTCTTCCTCAACTCTTAATGCCTCGAGTCTCTCATCTTTGGTCAGGAAGTCGAACTCACCACCACTAGAGGTACGAAGAGGGATTTTCACTCTAGTCTGGTCGAGTTAACCCATGATCTAAGTCATCTGCTGGTTGATGGGAGTGATGTAGATAGGGTTCTCAGGGACCCATTCCAGCCGACCGCAACTAGTAGATGGAATTTCGAGTTGATATAAAGAAGTAATGACTATCTGAGAGGTAGAGTCTTCATACAAGGGTTCAGAGGTTTTGAAGAGTACCTTTAAATTTCCTTCTTCAGCGACGCCTTTGCCTTTCAACGAAGGGCCCTGGTTCCTTTCAGGCACAAACTCTTCTTCCTTTCGCTCCCCCTGGGATGCGAAATCCTTGAGGGCAACTCCTTTAGTGGCAGTTGTTGGATGCTGAAACTGAATGGTGAAGTCATCTTCATCATCATCGTCATCATCGCCATCAAGATCACTGCTGGAGTTTGGAAGATCAGGTTCATCACCTTCTTCGTCATCTTCTTCATCTTTCACATCAGCAGCAACATGTGTAGAGGTGATGGGAAGGTCATCATCACGAGGGATGGCATCAACCTCCTCTGCTATAGCAGCTTCGCTGGAGGTTGGGATAGCACATGCAACCTCAGCATCAGCTTCAGCTCTAGGAGCTTCAACTTCAGCTTCATTGGTTGTTGGTTTAGCAGATGGTCCAACAACGTTGAAACTTATCTCCTCCTCTCTGGCTAAGGCTTGAGAGCATATGCCAGAGAGTTGGTCAGGTTGTTCGTTGCTTCTCGCGTCTCATTAAGACGGTTCATTAACTATTTCTTTTAAAAACGAAAAGGTTTTGAAGAAATTTGAAGAGTCACATTCAGTGATAGGAAGATCACTGAATAAACCTTTTAAAACATTTTAATCCCTGAAAAAGAAAAGCTTCAGTGATGGTTTTGTTTTAAGAACTGAAAATAACTTAGAAAAAATATATTTTCATAAAGACTTTAGTGTCAGTGATAAAAGGATTACTGAAACTGACATTTAAAAACATTTTAATCACTAAAGATGGAAAGTTTCAGAGATCATTTTGATTTTTAGGAAAAGATAAGTATGAAAGAGATATACTTACATGAAAGTGTTCAACGAGCAAAAGAATCACTGAACAAACTTTTAAAGCATTTTGATCACTGAAGAAAGAAAGCTTCATTGACAGTTTTAAGTTTTAAGAAAAAAGAATAAGTAAACATACCTTAGAGAGAGTAGATACATTTACTCAAGAGTTCAGTGATAGAGATAGAGCACTGAATCATTTCACTTACTGATTGATGTTATAGTTGCAGAAAATTATTCTTCAGCGTTTAGCATCTCCAGTTCGCTGATCAAGATGTTAAATCTTGTCTCATCAAGAGGCTTGGTGAAAATGTCAACGAGCTGATAAATTTTTGGAACAAAGTAAAGTTCAATGTCACCATTCATAACATGATCTCTTATAAAATGATATTTGATCTCTATATGTTTGGTCTTGGAGTGAAGTTCTGGGTTGTTTGTGATTGCAATAGCACTGGTGCTATCACAATAGACTGGAATCTTTAAGAGCTGAAGAGCGTAGTCTTTCAGTTGGTTTTTCATCCAAAGAACTTAAGCACGACAACTTCCAGCGGCTACATATTCAGCTTCAGCGATTGATGTCGACACTGAGTTTTGTTTCTTACTTGTCCAGCTCACCAACTTTTCATCTAGAAGCTGACAGCCTCTAGTTGTGATTTTTCTATCGATCTTGCATCCTGCAAAATCATTATCCGAATAACCTATTAGGTCAAAACTTGAACCCTTAAGGTACCAGAGATTCAAATTAGGAGTTCCCTTCAGGTATCTGAAGATGTGCTTACAACGATCAGATGGGATTCCTTAGGTTCAGATTGATGTTGTGCACATAAGCAAGTAGAATACATGATATCTAGTCGACTAGCTATTAGATACAACAGGGAGCAAATCATTCCTCTATAAACAGTAACATTTACAGGCTTTCCATTTGGATCCTTATTGAGAGAGAGTGGAGGAGCCATTGAAGTCTTCATAGATGAGTTATTTAATAGATCAAACTTCTTCAGCATATCACGGACATACTTACTTTGACTGATAAAGATACCTTTATCTTCCCGAGTGCTCAGCTTTGCCCCAGAAATGGAACTAACTTGAGGGTCGGTATACGTGATTGCTTGATATAAAGACCTAAAAAGAAGGTTAGTTCTCCCATCATGCTCATCTGGTATTCTTTCTTCATGTGATCAGCGAATCGAAAACATAAAGAGAGATTAGTGGACCCAAAAATAATATCATCGACATTAATTTGGACTAGAATGATATGACCTTTAACTTTCCTATGAAATAAGGTTTGGTCAATCTTTCCACGAACAAATTTCTCAGAGATGAGAAACGAGGAGAGGGTATCATATCAGGCACAGGGAGCCTGTTTTAACCCATAAAGAGCTTTATCCAAACGATAGACATGGTTTGGATACTTAGGGTCAAGAAACCCTGGAGGTTGTTCAACATAAACTTCCTCTTGAAGTTTTCCATTAAGGAAAGCACTCTTTACATCAATTTGGTAGACTTTGAAGTCTCTATGGGTAGCAAAGGCTAGAAATAGTCGAATTGCTTCGAGTCTAGCCACTGGTGCGAAGGTTTCGTCATAGTCGATTCCTTCTTCTTGTTTATAACCCTGAGCAACAAGTCGATCCCTGTTATGGCTTACCACACCTTCTTCATCTAACTTGTTGCGATAGACCCATTTGGTGCCTATCATTGTCTTGTCAGATGGACGTGGGACAAAGTACCATACTTTGTTCCTATCAAACTCAATGAGCTCCTCTTGTATAACAATGACCTAACTAGGGTCTGAGATAGCATCATTGATCTTCTTGGGTTCAACTAAAGAGAGAAAGTTGACAAAGAGACAGATATTACCGAGACTACGATGAGTCTTGATACCTGCACCTGGATTACCAAGAACTTGATGAATTGGATGGTCTTTAGTCCATCATTGAGCTGGTAGAGGATTATCATCTGAGTATAGAAGATCAGGAACAGTGGATGAGGCTTCAGCTACACTATCTTCAGCGATTGGAACAATTGCTAAAGGAGCCTCAGAGTCAGCAACTAAAATAGGTTCAGATGCTGAAGGCATTTCATTTACTGATCAATGTTTGAAGTAGAAAGAGGAACACTTCTAATGGGCACAATAGCAATCTTTGAAGAAGACATGTTGGTGTGACTAGCTGCAACTGAATGATTAATGGTTCATCTTCAGCTTCTAGGGCTTCAGTGTTGAGAGGCACGCTGAAGGAAGCTTCAGGTTGTCCATAATGAGAGAACATCCAGTTTTCTAATTCATATTCATCATTTAAGATGGGTTTTGAATTAGCTGACTGAGATTCATCAAAAGTGACATGAATAGTTTCTTTTATCGTTTGTCGGCATTTGTTGAATACTCTGAAGGCTTTGGATACTGAAGAATATCCAAGAAAGATTCCTTCATCATCTTTGGGATCGAACTTTCCTAGTTGATCACGATTGTTGAGAATATAACATGTGCAACCAAAGATTAATAGAAAGCTAATAGAAGGATTTCTTCCATGGAAAAGTTCATAAGCTGTCTTCTTGAACCTCTTAATGATCAGCGACTGATTTTGAGTGAAACAAGCAGTGTTGACAGCTTCAGCTCAGAAATGAGTAGGGAGATGGGACTCGTTGAGTATTGATCGAGCAGCCTCAATGATTATTCGATTTCTCCTTTTAGCAACCCCATTTTGCTGAGGAGTTCTCATTGAATAAAAGTTGTGAGAAATTCCCTTGTCCTCAAAGAAGTTATCCATAGTACTATTTTTGAATTCAGTACCATGGTCACTTCTAACAGATCGTACTTTAATGTTGTTAAGCAGTTTTATTTTCTTGATGAACGATATGATGTCTTCAGGTGCTTCGCTTTTGGATCTGAGAAAGAAGATCCATGTGTACCTGGAATACTCATCAACAATGACAAGTGTATACTTCTTTCCAGCAATAGATTGCACATTGACAGGATAGAAGAGATCCATGTGCAGTACCTGAAGAGGCGTTGTCACTAAAGAGATTTGCTTTGATTTAAAGCTAACTCTTGTTTGTTTTCCCTTCTCACACGCTGAGCAAAGAGATTCCTTTGAAAAGGAGTGTTGAGAAAGACCAGTGACTAAATCATTTCTAGACAACTCACTGAATGTCTTGAAGTTAAGGTGAGAAAGTCATTTGTGTCACAACCACTTAATATCTGACGAGGCTTTTGAGAAGAAACAACTATTCTCAGTGATAGGAGAATCCATATTGATGATAGAGACATTCTCTAGACGAGAACCAGTCAAGGCAACCTTATCATCTTTGTCATAGACATAGCATGAATTCTTGGAGAATTTCACCGTGTAGTCTTTGTCACACTGTCGACTGATGTTGAGGAGGTTGTGCTTCAGTCCTTTAACGTATACAACACATCTGAATGTGGTTGCACCATTGGTTAATATACCAAAACCTTTGCTATATCCTTTTCCATTACATCTAAAGGTTACGGAAGGTCCTCTTTCTTCCTTGTAGTTGAGGAGTAGGGATTTGTCTCCGGTCATATGCCTTGATCATCCACTATCTAGATACCATATGTCTTTGACTTCCTACACAAGGGAATGGTTTAAAAATTATTTTGGTACCCATCTATTTGGGTCCAGCAATGTTCGAGGCTTCATCTACCGAGGCTGAAGAACCAGCGTCAACAGATGGCTTCACTGAACCTGGTGAGGTTTTAGTGGAAAAGGGAAAAACCTCTGACGCTAGTGGGATTGAGTTAGTGGGTGACTTCACTGAGCCTGATGAAGAGGCTTTAGTGGAGGGAACTACAACATTTGATACAAAAGACTTAGCATCAATAGTTGTCTTCATTAAGCCTGAAGGAGAGGCTTCAGTGGTTTTCTTCACCTTGGTTGCTTTAGCAGCCTTAGTGGTTGATTTCGCTTTGGTTGATTTCTCAGCCTTAGATACTTTCTTGCCCTTAGCTGGTGGGCCGACCTTGGTGGCAGAGGGACACTTACTGGCAATGTGTGTAGTTTCACCACAATGCTTACACTTCCTATAGCTGAAAGTAGCTTTAGGCTAGGAAGTACCAGATTTGAAGAGGGACCAGCTCCAACGATTCCCTTCTCATTAGTTCTAGGAGGAACTTTTGAGGATTTGGAGTCCGTAGGTGAAGCATTCACCTTGAGCTGAGACTTAGATTTCTGAGAAGGTTTAGATTTCTTAGTCCCTGAAGAAGAAGAAGGTTTAAAAGCTGAATGAATGGATTTAGATCTATGTGACTTGTTAGTCTTCTTGGGAAGATGTGCTTTGATAATGGATTTACCCTTGTCTTTACAACCTGAATTCGAAGGTGTTCAATCAAGATGACTCTCAGTTAAAGAAGACTGAGAGAAAGAAGTGTCGGGAATGGAAGTGAGAAAGGTGTCAAACTTGAGCATGGACCTGTCAGTGACACTGTCTTCCTGATCATAGGAAAATCCTGGACCAGTCTTTATCTTAGCAGGGATCTGAGCGTTAATGATCTCTGAGGCCTTGACAAAGGCTTTGCACCATCCTTCTATAGTAGCCTTCTCATCCCTGAGTTTAGCAATTGCTTGCTCACGCTCAGCTATAGCCTGTTCGCATTTGACAGTGATGGTTTGGTTTACAATGACCTGATCCTTAAGATTTTCTTCAACCTTAGTCATCTCTTTGATCTTTGAATGAAAAATCTTCAACTGTTCTTGAAGATCAAGATTAAGCATTTCTTCTTTATACTTGCCATTCAGGGCATTGTAAAGGTCCACCGTCAGCGTGTCTAATGTTGATAGGTTAGAGGAAGAAGAAGAAGAGGGTTTATTCAGGATATATACCTGAGCAGGTGAGGATGATGAGGGATCATTTGAAGTTGATGTCTCTGGAGCTTCCTCTTTGACATCTTTGGCCATTAAGCAAAGATAGGCCGCATCTTTCTCATCAGATGATGATTCATCAGATGAATCATCCCAGTCGTGCTCTTCAGCGACAAAACCCTTGGCCTTTCACTGAATGTTCTTCATCTTCTTATACTTCTCCTTTAGTTTCAGGTATTTATCATCCCTGGATTTGAAGAAGGATGGGGATTTTGAAGATGGCATCACAGCCTTATTAGTCCTATATTCACCAACAAAGTGACCTTTGCGGCGACAGTTGTAGCAGATCGCTGAAGCCTTGTCTATTTTATTAGACATTGGCTTTTCCTTTATAGCCAGCGAAGGAGATATGCGAAAGTTACTTTTATTGGCGAATCTCCTAAGGGTGCGTTTGGTACGCAAACAAGACAAGACAGGATAGAACAGAACATGACAGAATAGGACAGGACAGTTGTTCAGCGTTTGGTAAGACATGACAGGACTGGATAGAACTGGTTAAAATGACCAATTTACCCCCCAGTGAGCTGTTTAGTGTTTTTTCACTAAATAATCAATATAAATGTTAAAAATACGGTATGCAAAGTATAACTTACATCAAACCACTACTACTTGAAAAATACATTTTCAAAAATACATGATTTCATAATCAACTAATGATATATGAAAAAGGTAAATATAATATGTAGGATCTGAATTCGACTTTGGTATTGATCTAATACTCTAAATAAGTTCTAAAACAATTGAAGTGCAGTGGAAACATTAATAAGAGCAAAACAGAGTAAATGATTAGAAATTCTAAACACACCAAGAACACACAGTTTCAACAAAGAAGATGAATGCACGAAGATTGCTCCAAAGGTTTTTCAATTGATTCAATTGAAAAGTTTGACAATTACAATACAGGAAGCACCACCGATTACAAAGGTCCTATCCGCTATTTATACTAGTTCCTAACGACCTTGGTGACAAGATTTTGACGCGTGTCTTCATCTGAATCGTCCAAATAAAGTCGATTATTTCCTAGTCACGTGAAAAGCACATGCGGCTAACAACCTTTGAAAACAGATAGAACAGAAACTTCACAGAAGACCAAATCCGCAGACCCTCTGTGAGCCATCTTAAAGGCTTTGCTGTAAATGACTTACGTGTTCTTTTTGACAGAGGACCATTTTCCAGAACCTATGTGAGACACATCAGAGGTTCTGCCACTTTTCATTTGTTCGATCAAACGGCTTCTGTTGCTAGTCCTCTGTTGTCTTCTGTGGAGATAACCTTCTGTCAAGACTTACAATATACTTTTTCTATACTTTTACAAGATAGGAATAATGGAGCTAACAATCTCCCCCTAAGTATAAAAAAGTAATTGTGGACAGTTGGGTGCAAGATTTGACAAAAGGAAAAAAAATACAAGAGGAGAATAAACTCATCCACTGCAAAAACATTTATATTACTGAAAGAAGTAAAAAATTGTGCAGGCCTATACTATTACAAGAGTTTACTCAACAATAGAGTCTGGATAATCGTCTACAGCATATTGCAAATCAGTCTTGACAGTCTTGTAGACCTTGAAGATCCATTCCCTGAATGAGACTTGTATTTTGATGGTTTCCAGAAGGTCCGTTACTTCATCCGCCCTTATTTACCCTTTCTGCACCTCTGCCACCACCAAGTTGAACACCCATTCGAGGGACTTTGTTGAATATTTGTGCGCCTCTTTCGGATCGAAGAATCTTAGGATCTCATCCTTATCCAAGAAAACAAACCCAAAGATGGGATTGTGGATAATAGTGTTGGGATGGAACCTGTGCAGCCAAATGGGTCTGTTCTTTGGAGGAGTAATCCTCAGCTCTGGCTGGGCCAACCTCATAGCAATATCGAAGTCTTTCTGGCTGTAGAATTTGACTTGGGCACGCATCATCTCTATCAGCCTTCTGAGAGAAATCGAATAGCTTGACCTCCTCTCCATGTACTTGTTCAGGATCTTGTGCAAGAAGATTAGATCAAATACACATAGGTTGTGGAGGTCAGCATGTGAAAAAGTGTAGAGGTTGCCATCATCCCTCTTCACCGTATATTGAGTGTACAGCATGGACTTCTTCAACATGGTGCGCGAAGAGAAGGTTTCAAGTGAGCAAATAACGTGCTCTGAGAAGACCTGCACGGGTGGCTTGGTGAGTTTAGAGAAATGAAACTTTGCTTCGACAGAGGGCATGCCAGTTAGCTCTGGATTGTAAGGGGGCTCTTAGTCCGTGCATGAGTAACGCCACCGTAGAATCTCTTCGACAGTGGTTACGGGCTCTGTACGCATCTTTTGCATGGGAATCTTGTTCATTGAATCAATAATTTCAAAGACCCTCCCCACTGTGGCAGACTCTGGCGTTCTGGTGTCTTCTTCAAGTATAGGCCTCTGGGTAGACCCCTCTGGTAGGATTGGCTTGACTGTTCCTAACAATGCATCGAACGTACCCGTGGACGTCTCTTCAGGTATTTTGGCAAGTTTGGAAGAGCCTTCTCCGACTTTAGGGATGGGAGCTCTGCCTTTCTTCATCCGAGCCTCTGCCAAAGACGCCTTGAGAGCTTGAACCAGATCAGGGTCGTCATATTCATCTTCATTGATCTCCTCCAGTGTCTCAGAGCTAGACCCTTTCTTTGGCGACTCCTCTACCACTTCACCCTTGCCTTTCCCCGTAGGCTCTGGAGATTATTCTTTGGAGAATAGGGCTGCAGCAGAGTCCACTATTTTCAGTGGTTTGGCAGAGGTTGATTTCTTTGTCTCTGTCTTCTTCTCCCCCTCATGACGATCAGGGTTATTACCTCCCTGATCATCATGGATTTGAGTAGCCTCTGCATTGCACGAGGTGAGGGGAGCCTTCTTCAAGCGCTTGAGAACTATGGAGGCCGCCTTCTCCATCTTCTCTATTACCATTTCAGCATTCAGAGTGGCGGTGTTGATATCCATCTCTGTGGCCCATTTCATTTTAGAGACGCAACGATAGATTTCATTTCGGAATGAGTTACCTTCTTTGACGAGTTGCTTCATGCAGTCTCTAATGGATTCGCTAGTAGCTCGGGCCTCTTTGAGAAGATGGTCGTGGTGTTTCCGCACGGTCTTTTCGAGGGCCTCAACCATTGCGTCTATCTCTCTGCGAGTGGCTAGATGGTTAATGTTAGCCCTGGAGGATGAGGAGTCGACGCAAACAGTGATCGTAGAAGAGAACATCTCTTTGATTTCATTCTTGAAGGCGGAGTAGTCCGTGTAGCCGGCGGAAACTATGTCTGCAGCGTACTGGGCGGCGACCTCTGTCAGTTCTGTCTTTAGTGTGTTGATGGAAGAAGGATTGAGAGACAGCACGCTGAAGGCTTCTGTGAGATCATCCTTTTTGAGGACAGAGCTCTGAAGGGTTGATAAGGTTGCCTTGAGTTCAGAAGTTGTAGAAGTCAACTCCTTCAGAGCCTCTATTAGAGGTGTAAGAGCCTCTGTTGCCGGAGAGGAGGAGAACAAGCTTTTCAACTCATCCAACCTCTGGAATACCGTTGTGGCGAAGGTTTGCAACTCCTCCTTCGTCACATAGGCACTCGGGGAACCTAGATCACCAACACATGGTGACCTAGTAGCCTTGGAGTGTAAGGCGCCCTCAGTGACCGATTTGGCGTTGTCATCTCGGGGACTTCCACCAGATCCTCGGRCATCCCCAATTGGAGAGCCTACCAGTGTTCTGTCGATTTCGTGCCTAATAGGTTCAGAGCCTAACTCGCCAGAGGGATCGAGTGGAGACTTTGGGCGTTCTAGACCCACAGCCTCGGTGATTCTCTCGCATGACTCTGAAGCATGACTGGGTGGTTCACTCACGTATGGAGGGGCAACTGATGCCTCTCTTGGTAGTGTCGAGTCCTTGGGAGAATGGACTCTTATGATAAAACTACCATCCTTTTGAGAGGATGATGGAGTAGAATAGGGTTCCCAGTTTGTCCATTCGACAAAGGACGAAAGAATGTCCTCTGCGAGGTTGGTTGGTTCAGGGTTCAGTGTGTGCATGCTTTCTTCAATAGGGGTTCCCTCTAGAACAGGGTCCCTAGACATGTGGGTTGCGCAGGGAGGGGGGCTTGGATGTGTGCCTTCGGCATCTTTTTCACCCTCATCTAATTCCACTTCTTCCTCTTCATCGTCTAATACGACTTCTGTCCCCAAATTTACCACCTCTGTGGGCGCTGAAAAACTCTGTTGGAGATTGAAGATTATATCTTGTATTTGCTCAGAGGGGGACTCTTCTCGAACAGCCTTGCGCAACCTTCTGCGATTAGGTACAGCCTCTGCCGGGCCTTCTTGAATTTCGGCCTCTGTGACCTCAACCTCTGTGGGTTGGGCCTTCTTTCATTTATTCTGTTTGGGTTTTGGCAGAGGACTGTTTGGACCCTATTCTTCTACGGGTCTCTTTTTCCCTTTCTTTTTCTCAGAATGATCGACATCCTTATGAGTCTTCTTAGACTTCTTTGGCCTTCGTGGGGGACTACTAACTACTCTCGGTCCTTCCTCACTCAGCTCCCTTGCCTCTGCAGGCTCCTCCATTCTTCCCTCAACTCTCATTTTGTGCACTCTCTCACCCATGGGGATACCTATTCGTGGAAGGGTTTCAAGGACCGGCTCTGGCCTCCTGTATCCACGTCTATAAGCCTTCCAATCTCCCTTGCTAAGGTACTTGAGCATAGCTTTTGATAATGGCCTCGGGCTTCTGTAACCTAGCTCATGCTCTGTTGGATGAAACTCCTTCATTGGGTATAAGCGAGCATTTGGCTCTGCAGAGGGAAGCTTCTTTGCAATCATGTCTCCAAAGACCAAACCAAAGAACCTTTGTAAGATCAAGTTTGGGTAATTGAGGTCTTCCTTGGCTTTCTTCTGTGCTTTTACCTTCGATTTCTCACCCCGTTGAGTAGCACATTTCTTCTTGATTAGGCCCACCATATCATCAAAGATGAGTGGCGCGTAATCCAGGGGCAAGTTGAAGTATATTCTGTAGACTATGGAGAGCATGGCGTGA